ATTCATCAGAGCCCTTCCTGATACGATCATCTCCTCTCCCCTTAAAAAAAATTCAATTATTTATTCCATGAAAAATTACACTTTGAAAGTTGATTGTAAAACACATTCATGGGGATCAATTATTGATAAATTGGCAGGTGCCATTCTAGTGGGATTCTATTCAAATTGATACTATTTTGAATTATTCTGAATATTATTGGCTGGGAAAAATTATACCTTATGCAACATATATTTCAATTTTCATACTGTCAAAGCTAAAAATTAAAATTAGGGTCCACCTTGACTTTTGTTGTAAATTATATATTAAAGATGTATTTTTATACTAAAGAGAAGGTAATGTATTACAGATCAATGACAGACTCTGTGCTTATTTCAGATTAAATGTTATAGACAACCAGAAAAAACTAAATGCCCCATTAAGTATATTAATCTGGATGTAATTATATATTATATATCCTATTACATGGTTGAATATCTTTAAATTAAAAATCTAAGAAAATTTTAGTAGTCTTTGAGGGAAATAGGATATAACTTTCAGTAATACTAATGGGAGTTAGTAGTCATTAGTGAAAATACATTCTATCATGTCTATGAACCCCAATGTTCATAGGCTGTGATAAGCAGTGTGGAACTGGAGCAAGGGGTAACCCACATCCTGAGGTAGTTAAAACCCAGGGGTAAATCAAATGCAGTCTGGGCCGAAATAGAAAAGCAGAGTGATGGCCTGTTCTCTTGATCTCATTAATAATTGCATCTGTTTATCAAACTGCTTTTTGCAAGGGCAGTATGATCATGTTCCCTTCACTTGCAGAGAAGAGTTTAGGTTTGGATTTGGTTTGGTTGTTGTTTGGAGTGAGGGACAGAGGGATAGGTAGGTAGCCAGTAAGCTTCACAGGTGCATGGCTTTGTTACCTCAGGTACTCCACCCAGAGGTGAAGGTAAACAGAGCCAGTCCTGGAAAAAAAAAAAGATCAAGTAGGAAAACAGAAAATCATGGGGGACCTTTACTTGAGGAACAGTGTGACTGACCTACAGAGTTGATGGATTTTCTCAGTATAGCTTTACATTCCACTCTCCACCCTGCTTCTGGCTCCATAGTCTGACAGGCAAGGGGAATTTCCCAAAAGGTCCTATCCAGGTTGGATTAGGGAAAACTAGAAATTTTCTTTTCCCACCAGTTCTTTGCTTTAATCTGCTGATTGATTCTTCATTCTAATCAGAGCCACAAGGAGTGTGTGAACTTTATAAACCAGGAGTTTCAAACTTCTCTGTACACAAAGCCCAAATAATTCATTTCCGTTTTTCCTCATGGATCCTCTCTGTCAAAAGATTTTGTCTACCCAAAAAATGGCACTTAATTAACAAACAGTTTTCAGCAGTAAAAGTAAAGTATGTCTTTAATGCTGGACAAAGTGTTATAGATCTTGGACCTTTGATCTGTTGGTTTTTCGTCAGGCTTTCAAGTACACATAAAGATGTGAGGGGAAAATGGGTAAAGCAAACCCACAGCACTCAACTCTTGGAGTTTGAAAAAATTGCATCTATCGGTTATTCCATAATCGTATATTTTATCTTTTCTAAAATGTATGACACATTATTTTTTACTCCCATTTTTACACTTTAAGTAAATGCCTCTTTAGATGCAGACCAACATTGGCAAGCAAACTTTATACCTCACCAACACAAGTCTCTCTAAATGTAGCGAAGACAGTCTCAGAAAAGTAAGTTTTAATTAATTTTGTTTTTAGGCTCATGGTTTTTTTGGGTTTTTGTTTTTGTTTTTGTTTTGACCGCACCTCGCGGCATGAGGGGTCAGGGATCAAACCCTTGTCCCCTGCAGTGGAAGTGCGGAGTCTTAACCACTGGACTGCCAGGGAAGTCCCTCATGTTTGATAAATGTAAATCATTTTAAAACAAAGTTTAAAATATAAACTTTAAAAAAATTATTAATTCCAATAGAAATCTGGGGACATTTCATAAATATGCCTAGTGTGCTTAACATACTAATTAATTCTAAAACCTAGGTTATCCACCCTCTGGTGTAAATATGTTCCAGTGGGATATCTAACTTGACTAACTCTCTAACCTTAGTAGATACTAAAGTAAATACTTCCCATCTTCCAAAGTAAAAATTTGAATTTTTCCTCAATTGTAATTGTATTTAAAGAAAATATATTTTAGAGTATGCTGGTTATCTATTTTTGTTAAATGGTTAGAAGCATTGGTATCATAAGTAATGTCACTTTCTCAAATGAAGTCAACAGATGATAGTTGAAGAGCAGGTTGGAGTTTGGTCCTCTGCTTCTTTGAGACTGTATACAAGATAGACTTTATATCAGAAAGTGAGCAGAAAAGGAATTCACATTTTACTGTTAAAATGATGATTTGGTCACTTCTCATATGTATTTTTATGGCATGTTCACTGCTTCTCAAATAGTAATATCCTATTTATCTTCAGGTCATTGAGTATGTTGGCTTCCTCCATGTTAGGACATTAAGATTATTAAAGGCATTTCAAATTATTCAAATATCCAGAACTAGACTAGCCAAATTCCCTTCTTTAGTGATATAACTTAGTGAATATATAAGTACCATATTTTATAGATTCTGAAGCATACATATTTTAACATCTCTACTTGACAATACTTTTTCTTTCTTAATGTCTTATAATATGTCTTATAATGTGTAATATAATATGTCAGTATGTCTTATAATAAATAGGTGACAAATGTCTTATAATAAATAGGTGATATCTTTGGATGGACCTAGAGATTATCATAATAAGTGAAGTAAGTCAGACATAGAAAGACAAATATTATATGACATCACTTATATGTGGAATCTAAAAAATAATACAAATAAACTTATTTACAAAACAGAGACAGACTCACAAACCTAGAAAACAAATTTATGGTCACCAAAGGGGAAAAGTGGGGAGGGATAAATTAGGAATATGGAATTAACAGATACACACTACTATATATAAAATAGATAAACAACAAGGTCCTACTGTATAGCACAGGGAACTATATTCAATATCTTATAATAACCTATAAAGGAAAAGAATCTGAAAAAGATACATATATATATGTGTGTGTATATATATGTATCTGAATCACTTTGCTGTACACCTGAAACTAACACAACATTGTAAATCAACTATAGTTCAATATTAAAAAAAAAAGAGGAAGAAAAAATGGTATCTTAGATTCAATGAAATACTGTAATTCGTGGCTGGGAAAAGGCAGTGAAGTCCTCCTTTTATCTAGATTAGATATTAGGGCGTATGAATTCTAGTAATTGTGGTGACCTTTGGCATAATAGGACTCTAACCATGCTAGAAACTGGATACTTAAGTGACTTCTTAACTTTTCATGTGTAGGGTTTCTTCTTGGATGCTCTCTTTCACAATTAGAAAATCAAGGAGGGCAGAGGTAGAAATGTAAATCATCTTTGCTTTGTATTTTTCATCAACAGAGTGGGGTTTTGCTTTAGCAGCATATACTGGGGAAGTGAAGATTCCATTCCCTCCCATAGTATTAAGAATATAACAAGCTGTTCAGCATACTTGCTAAAGCACTGTACAAATCACTAACTTTACTACTAATGTTCTAGATTCACATTTCGATAGGGATAAAACAGAGCTACTATAACTTAGGGGAAAAAATAATAACACTTTACATCTTTTTATATCTTTCCATGAAAACTAAAAGTTGAATTTTTTAAACTCAGTAAAGGAGACATATTAAAAGAATCACATTAAAGGAGATACAAAAAACGAAATTGGGGTTATTTTTCCACCAGCATGGGTGCCTGTCTTTGTAAACAGAGTGCACCACACAAGACTCGTCTGTCTCAGTGTGTTATCTGTTGACAAGAGGTATCAGGCTTGAAGGCTAAAAGAGAAAATTAACCCATTTTTATCTCAGCCATTTAATGAAAAAGCAGGCTACTTTGTATTATGACCAGGGGTTAATATTAGTGTTGGACTCCATAAGCATAGCATTTATTTTTTTTAATTTAAATTTATTTATTTATGGCTACGTTGGGTCTTCGTTGCTGCATGTGGGCTTTCTCTAATTGTGACAAGGGGGTCTACTCTTCGTTGTGGTGCGCAGGCTTCTCATTTTAGTGGCTTCTCGTTGCGGAGCACGGGCTCTAGACACGCGGGCTTCAGTAGTTGTGGCACACGGGCTCAGTAGTTGTGGTGCATGGGCTTAGTTACTCCACAGCATGTAGGATCTTTTCAGATGAGGGATCGAACCCTTGTTCCCTGCATTGGCAGGCGGATTCTTAACCACTGTGCCACCAGGGAAGTCCCAAGCATAGCATTTAGCAACGGTAAGAACTGACTTACAAACTTGAAAAAAAAAAACCTGAAGACTAGTATTCCTTAAATAGTTTTATTCCATCATATCACAATGATATGCCAGGAACATTCAGGTAATGGATTGCTTATATACTCTATGTTAACTCTGAAAAGATTCTAAGAATCATTACACAATGACAAATGCCCAATAGAAATAGAATTTTAATCATTAGTAAAACTTATTTTTAATGCTTTTCCACAAAGAAGATATTGCATTTTAGCTATTTATTGTTGGTGTATTATATTGTGTGTTTATATTAAATGTGTGTATGAACCCATATAGAACCTTAAACAGAATTGTGACCTAGAAAAGTGTTTTTTCACTATCTACTTTAACATTTAGTAAGGAAGTCTCTTCAAAAAATATTGAAAGTAAAGTTTCTTTAAAGAATTTAGAGTGAGTATCTCCAAAGACTATTGAAAATAAAGATATAGAAACAAATCTACAGTCTAAGATATGGTCATCTTCCTTCTTAAAAGAAAGCACAGGTAATAATATTTGTTTTATTTGAGTAACTGTAGCTTCTAATTCAGCCCTCCTTCTCTAGGACCTTTAGGATGTTGACAACTCGTAGGTCTGGAGCGGGTTGTGGGAATCAGTAATTTTTCAGACTCAGGTACCGGATGATTCTGATATGCAGTCAGGTGGGATCCATGGGTATACATTACATAAAATGATAATGATAGGGTATTCAATTTTAGAATGAATTGAAATACCTGTGAAAGCATGAACAAGTTCCACCTATTCAACAATGGTTTACTGAGTGCCAGGCACTTGTTTAGAAGCTGTGGATATAATAGTTAGCAAATGGCCAAGATCCTTGCCCTTATGGAGTTCACATAGATAGCCAACTATTAAACACTAATAATAAACACAAATAAGACAGCCATATATAAATAAATGGCACCTGGAGGAGGGAGAACTATCTTAGATCTAGGGATCAGGAAACCTCTCTCATGATACTCAGTGTTTGTGAATTGAATGAGTTCCTGTGACATCACATAAAGTTCTTAATTCCCTATTATGACCATCCCTGATGACACCAGTGTGATGAGTCGGTGAACAGGGTGGGTACACACTGGAAGATTAGAGTGGTTATGAGCCGACGGAGACTGTAAAGGAAACAGGTAGATAGACTGAATAGCCCAGGCATCCCACTCTTGGAAGGACTTGTTATCCCTTTTGAGGATAGATAGTACCTTTTGCTTAGAGTGAGGAGTTTTCCCAGCTTTTTCTTTTTTTGGCCTGCTTTTTCTTAACATTGTCTTCTCTCAACCTTCCTAGATTTCCTCATTTTCTTCTTTCTAACACCAGTGTTTCTACATTATTTAGAGTAGCTCATGGCCACACTCCCATCAAAGAAGACACCTCAAGACTTCCCACACACTCAAAGTCTTACAAGAAGGGGATGATGTAGCACAAGTTAAGGTTGAAACTGAAATTCATCTGTAGAGCCAAAAAACTGGGCAAACTCAGTAGTGTTTCCCAAAGAGATAATTTTAGGAAACAGAGGGTAAATTTTTTTTAAATTACTTTAATAGTAGTATATTTTAATGTGTATTAGAAAAAAATAATATAAGACCTGGTTAAGAATATGGACTCCAGAGCCAAAATGACTCCCAGATCTACCTTAATCAGTGGTGTGAAGTTGGGCAAGTTATTTAACCTGTCTGTCTCTCAGTTTCATCTATGAATGGGATAAAAATAGGACACACCTCATTGAGATGGTGAGAGAATTAAATGAGTTAATATATGTAGTATTCAGAAGAGTAATGGTGTATAATATTTTCTGTGATTATTATATCTTACTTTTATTAGTACCTCCATCAGTTTTGTGGATGATAATATTTATGATCTGGCAAAATTTCTAAGTTAAAAAAGTAAATTTAAAAAAAATTAAGTAAATAGTATAGGTGATACTCTCATATGGCAAAATGGATGAAGATAGTATATTACTGAAATTTGGAAAATGTTTCAATAGCTTGTGCCATGGAGGTTTTACCTCTTAAATATTTCTCTAATATATCTCCTCCTCTCAATCCCTATTTTAACAATGCCCTGTCATCCATCTCTTTCACCTGGACTTTTTAAAGACACCTCTAACCACCTCTCTCCCTGCTCTTTTTTTTTTTTTTTTTCCTGTCTGCCTTCAAATACACGTTCCACCCTGGTATCCAGGTATTCCTGCAGAAATTCAGAATTGATCATACTTGTTTCCCTACTTAAATCTTTCATGACTACTTTGTTTCCCTACTTTTAAATCCTTCATTCTTAGGATAAAGTTCTAACTCCAAGGCCCACAAGACTCCATTATCCAGCTTGTACCCCTCTGGCTACATCTGTCACCATTTCAGCCTCAATTTTGACCCATACACAACAACAAAGTGCTTGTAGCTCCACACACATTCTTTTTTCACTGGTTCATGCTATCCCCTCTCCTTGGAAAAACTGATCCACTCAGACCAGGATGGGGCTCTCCTTTGGTCTCCCATGTACCTAGTACACATCTTTATCACTTACTGCCATACTGTTTTATAATTATCCATTATGTTTCTGACTCCCCAGTTAGAGTGTGAGCACGCTGAGGTCAATGACTGTTCATTTTTGTGTTCCTAGGGCTCAACGTAGTGCTGGGCACTGAATGGGTAGTCAGAGTAGTGCTTATTTTTTATTTTTCAGTCATCTATGTTTGGTCATAGGTACTGTGACTTGACATTAAGAAAAATCATTAATAGTGTTATGTAACTTCTGGTTATATCTGGAACACTTCACATGTATCTCTTCCTAATCTGTGTGTGTGTGTGTGTGTGTGTGTGTGTGTGTATACAGAGAGAGAGAGAACTTTATTCTCAAGTATCCAAGCAGTGACTACTTGCCTAAGAAGAATTACTTTTCAACCTCTATAGTCTTACTTTTACTTTCCAAGCTCTTTATTTTGCATTTACATTCCTATAAGAAAAATTTAAGAAAAGTATTTCTGTGGATAGAATAGCATTAATTTCTTTTTTTCTGGAAGTTATTATATTCTTTATAAACAAAACCGTTTTCCATTTATTACAATTTCAAGCACCAAACAACACTAACATCAGCTCAGGATTATCGGTTTGGGTTTTTTCCTGTTTCACTTAGCAGTTTTATTACCTTTTTTGGAAATGGAAATCAGGTAAATTTATTGCAGTGCTGTTTAGTCATGAAAAAAAATCCAGAACAGGAGGACATGTAGTAAACATGTACACTTGCTACATTATAATTTAGGAGTGACCATTTTAAATTTTTGAATACATTTCAATATTTATTGATTAAATTATATGTATTCTTTTCTAGGTGAAATGAGCAAAAATGTAGTCATTACAGAGCAGGAGAAAAATAATGAATATTCCCCTGAGGATACTGATGACAAGTTGTCTGAATCAACAGATGATGATGGTGAGGATGATACCAATGATGAAGATAATGAGGAAGACAGTAACCCTAATAAGGATACTCATGCCCCATTAGAGTTAATGACAGAAGTAAGTTTTACTCGTATGTTATAACTCAAGAAACTTAAAAATATTAAAATAGCTGAATAGTATATAGTCTTGCAGACTAAAAAAAATGGTCAAAATATCCTTGCCCACACACAGATGCTTACCTCGTTACTCATCTTTCTTACTACTTTCACCAGGGTAGAGGTGAGTGAAGATTCTAGAAGTGACTCAAAGTATTCTGGTAAAGGCAGAAGCAGGAATAAGAGAAGTTTGGGCATAAGACTCTTCAAGGACTACTTTAAGGAAAACTTTTTACTTACTGGGTACCATGCTAGTTACTTGGGATATTTAGAGATAAATAAGAAAGACATGACCTTACCCTTGAGAACTAACAGGCACATATTATGTATATAATGCAATTTATAATAAAAGGAAATATGTATAGTAGAGGTGTTTGGAAAGTTCTCTGGGAACTGGGAGGATTGAGTGACTAATTGAGAATAGAAGCAGGAGAAATGGGTAAAGGAAGGATTTTTAGAGGAAGAGACATGAATGGAATCTTAGAAACATGAAGAGGGATGTGTAGGAATTCATCTGGTAAACATATCAAGGAGGTGTTCCTGGCATAGGAAACAGCATTGGCAAAGGCATTGAAGCCTGAAACGTCACATGCGAAAATTGTACATAAACGTTTACGGATAATTCTATGGAGAACAAAACAGTTGTACCTCACTTGTTGTGGTGTCACAGTCTACCTTTAATTAATATTACACAACTTCATGTATATCATAAGAACTTCATAACAGTACATTTTCATTTCCCCCTTCTCATCCTTTGTATTTTTGTTGTCATGTGTTTTACTTGTACATGTGTTATAAGCCCCACAATACATTGTTCTTTTTGTTTTAGATGGTTAGCTATCTTTTAAAGAGATTTTCTTAATGGAAAATATCTTCTTTTGGAAGGCATTTCTGGAGTTCTACATAGCTCTGTGTAGATCCAAATTTCTACCTGATATTATTTTCCTTTTACCTGAAAAGCTTCCCTTACTATTTCTTATAATGCAGTTCTGCTGGAAATGAATTCTCTCAGCTTTTGTTTGTCTGAAAAGTCTTAATTTCACCTTTATTTTTAAAGGATTTGATAGCTGGAGATTTTATGGTGGGGGGCCATGTTTCTTTCAGTACTTTGAAAGGTTGCTCCATTCTCTCACATTTTGCATAGCTTTAGACAGGATGTCTGCTGTTATTCTTATTTTTATTTACATGTATATGTCTTTTTTACCATCTTTCAAATTTTTTTCATATGTATTAGTTTTGGCAATTTGATTATGATATGCCTTGATGTGACCTATTTCTTCTGTTCATTGAGATTCTTGGACCTATGAGTTTATAGTTTTCACCAGGTTTGGAAAATGTTCAGTTATTAAGTCTTCAAATGTTTTTTCTGATCTCTGCCCTCCCTCTCTTCATCTGGGCTACAATTATACATATGTCAGATCACCCAATATCATCACTGATGTTCCCTTTTTTTCATGTTTTTTTCTATATATTTAAAAAATTATTTATTTTTGGCTACACTGGGTCTTAGTTGTGGCACATGGGCTCTCTAATTGTGGTGTGCAGGCTTAGTTGTCCCACAGCAACTATGTGGGATCATAGTTCCCTAACCAGGGATCGAACCCATGTCCCCTACATTGGAAGGCAGATTCTTTACCACTGGACCACCAGGGAAGTCCCTCTATGTATTTTATTTTAGAAATTTCTAATGCTCTTTGTTCAAGTTCATGATCTTTTCTTTGCAGTTATAATCTGCTGTTAAGTCCATTTCCCTCCTTCTCTCCCTCTCCCTCCCTAGCCCCATATATATGCATATATATTATTCATTTTAGGTATCCTGTTTATCATCTCTAGAAGCTTTCTTTAAATATTTTTGTAACTATCATTTCTCACCTCATCATGTTCAGATTTTCTCTACTTTTGAGCATATGGCATATATTTATAATGGCTATTTTAACATGTTTCTCTGCTATGCTATCACCTCTGTCAACTCTAGGTCAGTTTCTATTGATTAAGTTTTCTCCTGCTTATAGGTCATATTTTCCTGCATCTTTGCATGCCTGGTAATTTTTTACCAAATCCTAGATGTTGTAAATTTTATGCTCTTGGATACAAACTTTTGTTGTTGGACTTTGATCTGGGACAGTTGAGTTACTTGGAAATAGGTTTCTCCTTTTGAGTTTTGGTTTTTAACTTTGTTGGGAAGATCCAGGGCAACATTTACAGTGTAGGGACACTACTAAGGCCCCTTAAGTCCCCTTATGAGGACTCTTCCCAGTGCTCTCTGTATTAAGAGGACCTTCCACTCTGGCTGGAGAGAACATGAGTTCTTCTCAGCCCTGTGTGAGGTCCAGTGAGTATTCCATCTGCTCATTCTAGTGATTCTTTCTCCAGCCTCAGTTTCTTCATACTCATATGCAGATCAGTACCAGCCAAAGACTCTTTAATATTACTTCATGTCCCTATCTCTTGCAGCGTAAACCTAGTATACCTGCAAATGGTTCAGAATATGTGACACACAAGCAAGAATAATTATCTGAGTGTAGGCTTCTTTTTTTAATGGAAGGTGTCTAAATAACTAATAATAGAAGATCAGTAAATTGTGGAGCCTAAGTAAGTAAAAAAAATAAACAAGAATATTTAATTCCATGGGGAGAAAATGACCATGAAATGTGGTGTATTTTTTAAAAGTTACTGAATAATCCTAGTTTTTGTAAATATATATGTGTTCATTTATGGAAAAAATACTAAAATGATGTTCATGGAGATGTTAAAAATAAACATCTCTAAATGGTAAAAATGCTATTTAATGCTATTAAATTGGGGACAGAATGTGTTTATTTAGCATTTAAATTTCCTACCTACAAAAATATACATACAAATATGCATACAAATATTACTTTGTAGTAAAAAAACTACAATAAAAATAGTAAAAGCAAAACTAGATGGTATAAGGGCAATCAATACTGGAAAATATTGAATATACATAATTGTAAATCTATATTTTTTACTAAGTATTGTCGTGTAATTATGGATTAAGTTCACAAATAAAAGCTGTATCTGAACCAAAGGGATATTAAGGTGATTAAAGTCTTCAGAGTCTATGCCAGTTGAATCAACCTACATATTCTCAAATTGTTCAGTAGTGTGTACACTGTGTGGCTGCAGCAAAGCAGAGGTATCATACTTATTCTGTGTGGCCTTAAATAGTCCTTAAATAGTCCTCATTAACTGACTGATTACAGACTCAGCCCTGGAAAAACAAGTAAAAGTTAAAAGCAAAATAGTTAATCATTAATGGAATATTTTCTAGGGAGTTTATAATTGACATTTAAATTCTCTGTGAAACTACGTAGCTGAAGAATTTCTGAATGTTTTCCAGTTCCTGAGATCAGAAATGGGCCAAGACTACCATTTGGCAAAAAAATTATGTCAGAAGAGTAAGTACAAAATACTTTTCCTTTTTCCAATCTTCTCTGTTTCCAAATACATTCCATAATATATAAGATGGTCTGATTATCATACATCTAATGAATTCTCTGATAGTGTCTCAGTGAATCCTTGATAGTAAAAATTGGTATAAGGACTAATTTAGACTTCTAGAGTAACTTTGAGTGGGATAAAATGACAGAGACTAATTACACCATTAAAAAATAAGTCAAAACCCTTAGCCTCATGATAACAGGTTGGTAGCATTGTGCCTTTAGATTCAAAGAAGTGTTGTGTAGTGCAGAAAGCCTTACTTAACAGGCAATTATTCCACAAATATTTGAGTACCTACGTGTGCCAGGCACTGTTCTAGGCACTGGACAGATAATGATCCCACATTTATATCTAGTTTCAGACAGATAAATTTATCTGTAACTAGTGTGTCACAGATGATAGGTGCTATGGAGAAAAATAAAGCAGGGAAGAAGGAGTAGAAAATGCTGGGAGGGAGGCAAAGCAGTTTTAAGTAGGATGGTCTAGGAAGGCCTCACTGGAAGACTAGAGCAAACACCTGAAGAAGTTGAGGAAGTGAGTCCTGTCATCTGGAGGAAGTGTGTTCCAGGCAGGACTAATAGCAAATGTGTTGAGAATAAGCCAGGGAAAGTATGATAGGAGATGAGGTTGGAGAGCTTACAGCTTACAGGGGTTGTGCAGATTGCATAACCTTTCGCAGCTTAAGGACCTTGGCTTTTTCTCTGAGTGAGGTGGGAAACCACTGGACACTTTTGAGTAGAGGAATGATATGAACTACCTTATTTTTCTGTCTTTGGGTTTTAGTGGTTTGACTTGACGTTCAAAATGGTGGTGGTTTTCTTTGTATTTATTTGAGGATTTCTTGGCCATTAACCTTCAAAGATTGCCTCTGCCATATTCTCTCTCTTCTCTTCCTGGGTCTCCAATTACACATAAATTAGACTTTTTTTTCATGGTGTCCCACATGTATCTTATACTCAGCTCTGTTTTTTCCATTTCTTTCTATTTCTATGCTTCAGTTTGGATATCTTCTATTGACCTGTTTTTGAGTTAATTTATCCTATCCTTTTTCTCTTACTTCATTAGTCTTAGTTATTTTAAAGGAGAAAATGGCAACTCTACAATTAAACTTTATTAATAATGGACTTGAAATATTAACTATTGTAGACCTGTCTTATGGTTAAAATCTTTTAGTGAAAATGTAGTGTAGGGACATGGGGTCTACTCTCCCTTGCCTCACAGAGTCCCCACTGTGGATACAGAACTTCTTAAATCATTGGCTAATTTTTAAAATGGGTTTTTTGAATGCTTTAACACTACCTATTTTATATCCAAAATAATTTGCCTTGTTTAATCCTTTTAAGCATTTTTGACCTTTAGAGCCATCGAATAAAATATTTCAATCAAAACTGTTTCTGGTGGCCCACAAACAGAATTTCCAATCAGAAAGAATCCTTAGAGAGAGAATCATGTCCAATCCTCTGTTTTTATAAATAGTGAAACTGAAGCAGAGAGAGGTTAAGCAGCTTGTGTAGCCCTGCTCAGGGAGCAAGTGACACAGCCAGAACTGGAACCCCAGCCTCCTTTTCCCTCAACTACTTTTCTTCTCTGTGTGGCTGGTATAGAAGGGAGTGATTTTGTAGCTCTAGCTCCCAGTTCTCTTGAGTTTTTCTTGTGGAGCCTAATTGTAGGAAAATTTACATATTATATTATATTTATATATTCATCAATCATTTTAGAAAAGCCTCTGGCTAAAGCTTACAAAATATAGACACGGATATCACCACATCTGTCAGTAAGTTTTGGCTGTTAGCCCAAACTGTAAACAGCAGGTGCTCAGTATAATGCTTATGGACCTGACATACCAGTGCACGTGCATTAAGGGCCAGGTCAATGGGGATGAAAAAGTTCAAACTGATATATCTTAATGGGATTATATTCCTTTAAAAACTCACTCCCTTCCTTCCAACCAATAAATATTGAGCACTAACTCTGTACCAGACATTATGCTGGGAGCTGGAGAGAAAGCAGAACTCAGAGCACACATGCTCTAAACCCTTTTGGGGTTGATATCAGATGTGGTTTGCACTCTTACTGACTCATCCAGTAATGCTGTTTACTCTCTTCTGTCCATGGCAAATAGTGGTGCCTCTAAAACTAAGGACTAAACTCTAGGAAAAGAAGCTATGGAGTGCCCTAAGGCAGGCACCATGATCCAGGGAGCCAGATGGGAAAGAGCTGCTCCCAAGAGGAAGAAGAGGCTGATGGGAAATGTGAGCAAGAAGGCCCAGAGAATGAGCATAGAGAGCAGGGGTGTGCAAAGTAAGATTGGCTACCCCTGAGGCAGATTGCCAGGCAAGGATGTGAAAATTAGGGAGGCCCCGGTTTTGCAAAGCCAGGCAAGTTCAAGGAAGAACAGAGAGTTGTAGACAGACTGTTCCAGGGAGAAGGAAGTGCTAGTTCTTTGATGCAAATAGGAACGCTTGGCTGAGGGCTTACCCAAAGTCCCTCTCTGTGTTCAGAGCAACAGACAAAACAAATTGTTTTCATCTAGCATGGACCCTAAAATATTATATGTAAATTCTTACAGCATAGATATTCTTTTTCTAAAAATCTGTTTGAAGGATAGTTGATTTACAATGTTGTGTTAATTTCTACTATACAGCAAAGTGATTCAGTTATACATATATATATATATATATATACATTCTTTTTCATATTCTTTTCCATTATAGTTTATCACAGGATATTTAATATAGTTCCCTATGCTATACAGTAGGCTCTTGTTGTTTATCCACTCTATATATAATAGTTTGCATCTACTAACCTCAAACTCCCAACCCGTCCCTCCCTCATCCCCCCAGCTTGGCAGCCACAAGTCTGTTCTTTCCAGCATAGATATTCTTTTGTCTCTTTCTTTTTCCCCCCATCTTCTAGCTCTTCCATGAAACACTCCACCTTTCTCTATGTATATATTTATAAAGTTATGCATGTAAACATAGATTGTGTATTTACATTTTTATGTATTTATATATGTATATATTGAACACCTACTATGGGAACATTAAACATACATTGTTTAATTCTTACAGCAATTCAATGAGACAGATATGATTAACCTCATTTTACAGATGAGCAAAGTGAGGCTAGCAAGGAGAACTAATTCACCCAAAGTCACACAGCTACCCAGTGGTAAAGCTAGGATTAGATCCCAGGTCTGGCTTGAGAGCCTATGATTTCTTGCTATATTTCCATTTCCTCATTTGACTAATAAGCTTATATTTCTGGTTAAGTAGGCAGAGACTTGGAAAAGAGATGCTTTTATGAATCAATCAGATTGAAATGGCTCCTATAAGTTGACTAATATATTTTTTATTTGTATCTAAGGCAACTAGTTTATATGAAATAGCGCATCTTTGTCCCTGCAGAAATGTTTTACAAATCCACTCTCTTGAATAACCAATCACCGTATCATCATTTGTATCTTCACTTGGCTGCAGGGCTTCCCATCCTGCATCCCAGGTGCAAATGGGTTCTTTTCTTTTTATCCTGCCTTCTAAAAAAGTTGTTGGTGAAGCCTTGGAAAAGTGGTTTTTAAATGAGACTGCAAGTCAAGAGTCCCAAGTCTCATGATTGACTGTGAGATTTTCTGTCAGTCTTCCCATTTCTTGGTCTCTTTACCTGCAGTCCAATCATCTCAGGGTGCCAACACTTCTGCTCACAGGCAGCCCGAGATTCTACAAAAATAACTTTTAAGCCTTGAAGACCTACTCTGTCAATTATAATAATTGTAAATGTTTAAAAATAATGGCCTGAAAACCAAAATGGTTCTCATCATCATGGGTCTAACACAAATACAGATGTATCTTCAGAAAAGAAAGTTCCTATAAAGTTTTCTGTTTATTTATTTATTTATTTATTTATTTATTTATTTATTGCGGTACGCGGGCCTCTCACTGTTGTGGCCTCTCCTGTTGCGGGGCACAGGCTCTGGACGCGCAGGCTCAGCAGCCATGGCTCACGGGCCCAGCCGCTCCGTGGCATGTGGGATCCTCCCTGACCAGGGCACGAACCCGTGTCCCCTGCATCGGCAGGCGGACTCTCAACCACTGTGCCACCAGGGAAGCCCTCTATTTATTTTTGAGTAAAATAAATCACCCTTTCTTATTAGCCTAGAGTATAATTTTTATCAAGGCATAAAAGGACTGCTTCCTATTCAGTTGTCTATATTCATTTATTCCTTTTTTTTTTTTTTTTTTTTAATGTTTTGAAGGCTCCACCTCTGTGTCAGGTACTCTCTTAGGGCTGCAACAGTGAACAAGACCAACAGTCTGTGTACCCTAGCATAGCCTCCTGTCTGAGGGCCTTAGAGCTCCGTGGGCAGCAGAATCCCCAGCTCCCTGCCCCAGCCCTTCAGCCAGAAGGAGGCATCACTGCACACTTAGGAGGGAACCAAGCCTTTCTCCAGGCCCAGAACCACTCCAGGAAAGCTAATAATCAACATTTATTCAGCACCTACCATGCACCAAGGACTAAACTAAGTATTTATCTTTATCCATATTATCTGTTTGATTCATCAGAACAGCCTAATGTGGTCAATAGTATTATTACAGATAAGGGAACTGAGGTACAGAGGCATTAAATGCTTTCACCAAGGTGACCCAGCTAGACAGTGGCAGAGCCAGGGTTCACATCTGACAGTCTTTCTTCAGGGTCTATACCGGCCTCTGCTTATGGGCCCCGGTTGGGAAATAACTCCCGGAACATCAACTGCATGTGCTAAGGGCTTCTCTTGCCTTTTTACAAACCCTACTAGCCTGTCAAAGCGTTTTTTATTTATCACCTAGGATGGATATTGCAGGGCTAAGCTTCAAAGCAGATACCTTTCCGTCACTCTGACAATTGCCAGCATTTTTTGTTAAACGCTGAGAATAGCTGATGCCATGCTCCACTCCCATGGAATAATCCTAACTCCAACATGAAACTTTCTAAGCTGCGTTCCAAGGAATATTAGTTCAAGATTTCTTAGTAAGTGTTCCACCAAAAAAGGATTCCATGGGGATAATAAATTGGGGAAACCACATTCTCCTCTCTGTAAGATCCATAGTAGTTATGAGCATATTAATGGCTATGTAAAATCCTGCAGTTACTCCTATAAGCTTTACCTGATTAACTTCATTAACCTAGTTTCCCAAATGCATATTAACATCTTAAGAAACTAGTATCTCAAGGAGCAAGTTGGAGAAACTCTGCTCTAGAGAGAGGCTTAGCCTCAGAGAAAGATTTAGACTGCTAAATTATTTTAGTCTAAGTTAAAATGTACAAACAGTCACTTTTATCAGAAGCCTTAGAAGATGTATAAATACCCCTAGAAGCCTTAAAAGCATGTTCTGAGCAGGTGCACATTCATGCTAACCCAGATTGATGGTACATTGTTATATATTAGGAATTAGGAAATAAAGACCGTGGTTTAGTGTGTCAGGATGAAAGCCATATGGGGTGAGGCCCTCTGAGCCATTGGGGCCTAAGTGAACCATCCACAATTCTCTGTCTCACTGTTAGCCAGGCAAATAGCACGCTTGATGTTTCAGTGCCCCCTGGGGGCCATCAAGATATTACGCAGGAGTCACAACATTTAAATGGATGATGCAGAATTATGAATACACCTCAAGGCAGGTAGGAAGAAGGCAGAGAGAGAGATCTGTAGAGCAAGATCTGAAAAAATAAATAAACTAGCCTAGAAAACTCTGAAACAAAAGGTGTAGATCTTTCTGGGCTCTAGGACATTGGTAACATACTAACAGGCCTAAAAAGAAATCTATTGATACGGTCCAAAGGAAAGATGACACATTCACATGAAGGATCAGCAAAAAGGAATAAATAGCACTTAAAAACAATGGGTCTGATGAAGAGGTGAGGGTGCTGTTAAGTAGGCGATGACTAGGGTGTCATTAATAAAGTCTCCATGTTTTGCGGGATTTGCACCTTGTTTGGGGAATGCTTATAGTCAAGAAACACTTTGGCTACAGGCCCATGAGGGAAGCCTCATAGTGATAGAGATTTCCTTCTTTGGACAGGAGGTAGAAACTAGAATGAGGATTATTTCCCTTACAAAGCACCTAAGATAAGTAGAACATTTTCTCTATCTGCGCTTAGATATACCCATGGTATAATTGTTGGTGGTTTTGCTTTGTGCATTTTCACTTACTCTCATTGACAGTTTCAGTCTCATTCTGAAGACGCTGTTTGCTGAAACACTTCAAACACTAATAATATGCATTCTGTTGTCCATTTTCAGTCCTAATCTATGAACCAGAAAATCCTGAGGCCAAGGAGTTTTCCTCACTTATTGAAGAAATGCTGCTGATGGGTAAATTTAAAAATTGAAATTACTTCTTTCTCATAGAACTATGAGCAGTCACTATTTAAAAATCCATTGCCCCAGGAGATTGGCAAAGTACATCCTCATGAAGTGGTTAAGAAAAGGCTAAATGGTTGTCTTGGATGGTTTCATGAAACCGGCTTGTCCTCTGTGGATGGTCAAGATGACTCCCTTTCCTCTGTGGGGTGGAACTGCCCAAGCAAAGCAGGCTCCCTGGGCACAAGGTATTGTGCACTGACAGAGTCCTCAGGGGGAACAGAACCTGCTAATTGTGCCAGGCACTAAAGGGATTATCCCCCAGTTCCAAGCAAAGCCAGTACCCTCTAAATCACCCTGAATCTCACTTTACTCTTATTCTATTTAAGTAAGAATGAAGTTGACGTTAGTAAAAAATATTTTTATAGACCAATGTTTTAAATTTATTTTAAATCCACAAACATCTTTATGCCAGTAAGAATATGTTCTTCTTTGTACTACTGCTTTGACCCTACATGCAGTTAGCAAACTTCAGCTCAGTTCTCACATTCCAAAAATATGTATTTCTTAGTGGCGGGGAAAACAAGAAGAATTGTGATTTTTTGAGGGTAGAAATACTAAGAAACATTTAAAGCAAGTCTTTCCCTTTCTGTGGCAGAGAAAGCTCAAAATCTGGAGGAAGATGATGAAGAGAGTGAAGAGGACAGTAGTGGTGAGAGTGAAGGGGAGAGCAGTGAGGATCCAAGTGAAGAAAGCTCTGATGAATGTGAAGATGGGTGATGACAGTTGCTGCTATAGTTTAATCTTCGTGTATGTTCATTACTGTATACTATGGAAATACAAAGAAGAGAGCTGCATTTCAGTCTAACTGTTCTTTATTTGGTACAGAGTTCTTTTAATTTATCCATATTAGTTTGAGCTCCTTCTTAATATTTAGATTTTAGCTCAAGGTGAGCTACTCAGAGAGGGAAGTAATCATTGAAAACACATAGCACTAACTATGTGCCAGGTGCTGTTCTATATACATTAATTTGTTGAATCCAACAGACCTATGAGGTTAGCACTATTATCATTCCCATTCAACAGATGAGAAAACTGAGGCCCAGAGAGGGTGAGTCATTTGCCCAGCATCATATACCTGTTGATCGGTAGAGCCTAGATTTGCATACAGACATTATGGCTCCAGAATCCATACTCCAAGCTCCTCCCATGTCCACTACTTTAGGCATTTTATATCATTTGTTTCATGTTCTTTATAGCACATATCAGTACCTGAAGTTCTTATTTAATTATTCTTTTTTTTAAGGTTTTATTTTATTTTATTTTACTTTGGCGTATAGTTGATTTACAATGTTGTGTTAGTTTCAGGTGTAAAGCAAAGTGATTCAGTTATACATATACCTATTCTTTTTCAAATTCTTTTCCCATTTATATTGTTACAGGATGTTGAGTAGAGTTCCCTGTGCTGTACAGTAGATCCTTGTTGGTTATCTATTTTAAATATAGCAGTGTGTATATATATGTCAATCCCAAACTTCCAATTTATCCCTCCCCTAATTTATTCTTTTATCTTCTCCCTTCTTGTCAGAAAATGTAACCTCCATAAGCAGGACTTTGTCTTTTCACTGTTATATCCCTAGCAACTGGACAAGTGCCTGGAAAATAACGGGATGTGTATACCAAGTGAATGAATGAGGTGAAAGTTAATGACAATGTTTATATTCTTTCATAAAATATTTATAAGACTTTATTATACTATTTATGTATCAATCTACATTATTTTGCTGATTCTGTATTCCTTGATGAATTTCCACCACCTTCAAATTAGGTTGTAAGGTAACTGATGTAAAAATGAGAAAAATATTCCTAAATAATTTGTTTTGAGTGTGCCAATCTGATTTGGGGTTAGGCAGTTTGAATTTTTATTCTTATATCAGCAGAGTATCATGTCATATCCAAAATGCTTAAAGCATAATTCATTCTTTGGGCATTTTGTAGCATGCTAACATTCAGAGGGAGGAATTAGGCCACACCATTTTATAGAAGTATCTGAAAGAAGTGAAGACAGGTATGTATAATCATCTAGTTACATAAATAGTCAGATAGCACTGAAGGGCTGGCTGATGGAGACCGCAAGAACCACTTGTTCTTTTCATTTGTGGGGTGTTTGTTATTCCTTCCTACCATAGGAAAACCATTGTATGTCAATCTGATGTCACTTACCTGATTTTGGAGCCCTCCCCATAAGAAGGTCATTAAATACCCTAAAACTGATATTGCAGGCTAAATTAGTTACACTAGTGAAACTTTAGTTTTCTTTTAAAGGAACAGGCAAGTTCTGAGGGAAAAACTCTGAATAAAAGACCATGATATTACAGACCATATTATAGCTACCTCGAAGTATTCGTGAGGTTGGATCATGCGGGATAATCCATATTTATGGGTATGTACCCTTTATCCATATTCTTCATCCTACTTGCACTCCTTTTGGTTTTGTTTTTTTAAGTTTTTTTAATTTGATGTGGACCATTTTTAAAGTCTTTATTGAATTTGTTACAATATTGCTTCTGTTTTATGTTTTGTTTTTTTGGCCGTGAGACATGTGGGATCTTAGCTCCTTGACCAGGGATCAAACCCGCACCCCCTGCATTGGAAGGCGAGGTCTTAACCACTGGACTGCCAGGGAAGTACCCTACTTGAACTCCTTAATCAGTGTAATTTAGCGTGTTGGCGTAACCTGACATAGGCATGTGTGTCTGTATGTGGTAGCTAAATATAAAATCTAATAGCTAAACATAATCTGCAAAGTATTTTTTATTGTTTTATGTAAGTATTTTATATTATTTAACTCACTGGCTTCTCAGTCCTATGAGCAAGCTATTATATTGTCCCCATCAGTTACACAAATTGAATTTGGGATGCTGGGCATATCTAAGGGTAAATATTGACTGGGGTAGTGGAATTCAGATGAGGAAATTAAGACTACGAGATGCTAGGTTATGTTTCAGTATGAGAGATCTAGTGAATCTTGAACCCGTGTTCTGTGCTGCTTCACACGGAGCTAAACTGTAGAAACTGTTTATGAATCAGCAAACAAGTATCTATATAGACAGTTCAGTTCCAGACCTTTGCCTTCTTCAGAACGTTACAGTGGTGGGAAAGAATCCAAATATTCAACTATTTGCAAATGTACAAAATGTCCACTCAATGGACTTAAGATGGGAACCCACCAAAATAGTTTCATTTATTCAATCAATATTTACTGAAGGTCTACCAAGTATACCTGCTCTTAAAGAACACTGGCACAGTTGAAATGCAGGGTGATAGGAAGTCCAGGGTGCTGAGGGAGCATGCAGTAGGGGTACCTAACCTGGGCCAGGTGTCCAGGGAAAGCATTCAGAGGGAAGTGGAGTCTAAGCTGAGAAGGTAGAATGAGGGGGAATTAGCTACAAGAAGAGGATGTGGGGAAGAGCATTCTATCAGTAGATACATTCAGAGTCCAGAAAGTAAATAGGTATGGTTGGATCGCAAAATGAAAATGAACCAGTTAGAGCCGACACAGATGAAGCTGTGTTCATAAAGACGCTGGGAAATGGTGGATCTTACAAGCTGTGTTAAAGTTTGAACTTTATCCTTAAAGTAGTGGGAGGCCACTGAGAGATTTTAAGGAAAATAATGATTGTATTTTAGAAAGAGCATTCTAGTAGCCAGGTAGAAAAATATGTTCTCAAACTACAGGTCATGATCCATTGGTCAGATATGAAATCACTGTAGTGAGTCACCAATAGCTGTTTTTTTTTTTAATTTAAATACATAGAATAGAAAATAGCACACATTGCAAAAGAGTATATGGGAATTATGGTTTTGTGAAACTTTTCATTCAGAGTGTGTGTGTCCTAGATCTTGATGTGAAATGTATTTCTTCCTATGGATCTCCATTTTTAAATATATGAAAGTATAGAGAACAGACTGGAGTGGAATACAAAACTCCGCTGTTACATAATTCTAGCAGTTCAGTACTGTAGCCTGAAAGAGGTAGTAGCAGAGATGCAGTGGAACAAAGATGTTATTTTAGAGGTAGAAAGAACAGACAGAAATTAGTGATGAATTAAATGTGGGGAGAGGTAGAGGTCAAGGATGACTCCCAACTGGGTAACTGGATGCATGATAGTGGTGATATCACCTGAAAAAGGAGCACAGAAAGAAAAGCAGATTTGCTGGAGAATATGGTGGTTCACTTACACAGGTTGAATATAGGAAGTATATTGTTTTCTATGCTGTAACAAATTAAAGCAACTTAGTGGCTTAAAACAGTACAAATTGATTATCTTACGGTTCTGGAGGTCAGAAATCCAAAATGGATCTCACTTGGCAAAAACCAAGGTATCAGCAAGACTCCATTCTTTCTGGAGGCGCTAGGAGGGAATGTTTCCTTGCCTTTTTTTTTCCAGCTTCTAGAGCCCTCCTGCATTCCTTGGCTCAGGGCCCCATTCTTCCGTGTTCAAAACCAGCACTGTCTGACTGATGCCTTTTCACATTGCCATCTCTCTAGCCCTCTCTCCCCTGTTTTGATTTTTGTGAAATTAGCATTTGTTAAGTAGACCACAAGGGAAAGTGAAATAGAGAAATTTATTACTCATGGGTCCTAGAGGAGGTACATGGCACACGTCAAAGGGGCCACGGGGTGGGGGGTGTCAAGGTGCAGGAGAGAGTGGGCAGCAGGACCCTGGGTACATGTCTTACTTAGGGTCTACAATTGAGTGCTTTTGGGGTTCCTAGGCTAAGTCCAGATTGGTGGATTCAAACTAAAAAGAGCAGAGTTTTGGTAACCTCTGTGGAGGTCTTATCTAAGTGGGGTGCACAGGGGAAGGAGCTGGGAAGCAGGAGAGACTATTTATCACCAGGGGCACTGGGAAAGTCATATCTGGGATTTATACTTACTTGTGAATCTGCAGGCTATTGTCTAGTACATGGGCTGTTATCTGGGCATGCACTTGAGGGAGAGGCTAGTGTCAGTTCAAGGCCCCTGTAGGCCACTTAGCCACTCAAAATGAATGCCAAGGCAGCAATATTATGAAATAGTTTAGCTAAATTCTCAACACCCTTCCTCCCTCTTCTACCTTAAAGGCTTGTAATTACTTTGGGTCCATCTGGAGAGTCCAGGGTAATCTTCCCTATCTTAATGTCAGCTGATTAGCAACCTTAATTACATCTGTAGCCCTAATTGTCCCTTGCCACATAACCTAACATATTTATGGGTGCTGGGGATTAAGACATAGACATCTTTGGGAGGTGGGGGGATTATTCTGCTGGCCATAGGTAATATTGTGTGTTAGTTGTTTTGGAATTTATGGTATGGAGCTTGGAAGAGACACTTTGGCTGATGATATACACCTTATTTAGGAGTCTTAGGAGCTTAGACTCAGCAAGATAACGCATAACAGAGATATCTCTTTAATTCAAGATAGTAATCAAAGGTAAGGCATTGGTAGCCCACAGAGAAAGTGTAGTCTGAATAGAAGAGGACTGAAAGTAGAATTATCTTAAATGATAAACAACATTTAAGTGGTAGTCCAGGAAAGAAAAATGCACAAAAGAGAAACTGAGAAGAATAGCCAAGAGGAAAATCAGGAAAGTGAATATAGTAGATACCATTGGTCGCCTGCTTAGCATCGTCCCTCCCTGCTTCTTTGCTAAGAGACTCCTGATTCTGTTCAGATATTCACTCCACACACACATAGGCATGGGACTCAGAAAAGATACCCTCAGCCAATCAGTGTATGGCATTTCTCTGGTGACTATTACGGTTCCAAAAGTGGACATGTGACCTCCATTGGCCCAGTCAGATCAAGGACTT